GTACTGAGCCTTGCGCGCACCTATTTCCCTAATGAAACGCTTCAGATTGCATTCTAGGTCTCTACCTGCAGCTGCGACAAGTCACCCAGCCGGAAGCGGGAGCGGGAGCAGATGGAGCCCTTGTGATTGATGGCGAGAAAGAGACCGAGGTACTGTTTGTCTCTGTCGGTCCGTAAACCCGACTGAGTTCACCTTTCCCCGGGACAAGTAAACAAACTTCAAACTAAGCCGACTCTAGACAGCAAGGAGAAGAATGTATCTGATGGAAACTCCATCCAGTGCAAACGTGATTAAGACCGGGGGTACCACAGCTTACTAAAACAGTGATTCCCAAGGGCTGGCTCCCGGCTAGAATGTGGAGCGGGGCAGCCGCCCTGACCACAGCCGGGCGCCGCCAGCTCCGTCCCCGTCCGGGCTTGGGCTAGGGTGGGGCAGGTTAAGTGAAGCTCCAACCCTGTGGGATTCGGACCTAGAGCCAAACAGCAGCTGCAGTATCCACGTCCCTGTCCGCCTGGTCTGAGCTGGATGCCTTAGCCACCTACACTCCCTATCCTGGAACCATGGCTGGCCATTCCAACGCAAGTGGTCAAACTTTACAGGTTTTTGTTTATTTGTTTTCCAAAATGTGAGACTTGCTAAAATCTCCCTTCCCAGCCTTCCAACCAGGACACTCACTGAACCCAACTCTCCTCTTTGGAATCTACGAGTCCCTCTGGATATTGGAAACCGTGTCTCCGCAGTCAGGCCCAGGTTTCTGAGGGACAAAGCCGGGCCTAGCCCCCAGTCTTAAGGCATCACGCCAGAGGAGCCTCCAGGAAGTCAACAAAGAGGACTGCTGGGTCCAGAGCGAGGACTCTGGCCAGTCTACTTTCCTAACAAGCTCTTGGTGGGGGATCTGCAGGGAGGGCTTGGGAAGAGATGAAGACAATGAAATGAAAGAGGAGAAGAGAGGGACAAGAAAAAGAAAGTTGAAAATCTAGGTGAGAAGTGAATACATGCCAAATAAGAATCAATTGCCCATAATCCAGTACTTCCAGGCCTAGAGGAAAGTACTGGGAGGGGCATATGCCTCGCTCCCTCAGCAGCCTTTCCCCCGCTCGAAGATTTAGCAAGAGTGACCCAGAAGGAGCAACAGCCATCCAGAAACTACAATTTTTTCTGTGTTCAAACCATTCCTTTTTTCCTCCCTCTCATCCCTAATGGAGCTCCCAACAAAAACACTGAACGCTGAGGAGACCAGGAAATTAGAGGTCGGAAGAAAGGAATCAAAAATGAATTTTTTTTTTTTTTTTTTCTGGGCGTGGGAAGTAGTGGCCAGGAAGTGAAGAACTGGAAACAGGAGAAAGATTCATTGCTACAAAAATTTAGGAACCCAGAGATAAAAAACCAGTGCAATAAAGAGTGAAATCTCAGCTCCTGAAGTCCTTCCTGGGACATCCTCAGTCCTGTCACACAGTTTTGCTTCATTGGAGGCCAAAAGAGCCAAAAGCAGCAGTGGCTGGGGTGTCTGCTGCTGGTCCCCGAGAGGGCATCCCTGTTTTAGGGCACAAACAGAACCCCAGAATGACTTCCTCACTTTCCAAAACAGTCTCTCACCGAATTCTGTGAAGGAGCTCCGCTAAGGAAAAAAGGTTCAATGTTCAAATCTATAGAGGCGATCCATTCACTAAAAACCAGAACTCATTCAGAGTTATTTAAAATAGTTGTCTTCTCTCACTGTTTTAAAACGTTGGCTCAGCTTTGTGAGACCACAGTAGACAGCAGACAGTTCTGAAGCTCCTATCAACAAAAGTCTGACTCTGAAAATGAATCTTTTGATCTCTTTCTCTTCCTCTTCCCCTCTCCCTCTTGGTGGAAGTAGTTTGGCATTTCTGTCCTCCACTGCAGTCTCAGGACTGCTCAACATTTGGTTCCACACAGGTTCCGAGGCAGAACAAAACTCCCTTTTCCCGTGGGGCAGGGACTCTAGGCCTGGCCTCTTTACCTCCTTAACCGGTTCAGAATCCTTTGAACTCAAACCCAAACAATTTGATTCTCATCAGACCAAAAACAAGATCCTCCCAAGCCGCTCCCCGCGCCCCACCAAAAGCCATTTAAAGCCAAATCAAAACCAAACAAAAAGGAGGGTTTTAATCAGAAAAAGAATCTTTTTAATTTGTATAATTTATTAGAAGCTTCTTAGGAACTATATTTAAGCCAAATATCTACATAAGTTACAACAGAAAAAGACTGATGCCGCAAATACCAAACTGCCAAATAATATACACAGATTTGTCAATGCCCATAAAAAATATGAAGGGCTGGGGACTGGGAGTGGTTTTTCTTTTTACAACAAATTTACAGATTACTAAAACCTAGGCATTTAGTCCAACTTTTGACAGCGTTTTACAGCTACAAGTTCACATCAAACGTAACAGTTTTCGCGGAGGGACAGTCGTGGCTGAGCCTAGGCGGCCAGAGGGCGCCGGGGAGGGGGCACTTCCTTTGTGTCAGTGACAAGTGGGTTGTGTCGAAGACTCTTTGCTCTCCCCAGCTCCCGTCCTCCCTTCTTAGAAATAACAAAAAAAAAAAAATAATAAAGAAAAAAAAATCCTGGTATTTACAAGCGAGTCCACTTTGCTGGCAGAGTGTGCCCAGAGTGAAGTTTGGTCCTTAGAGTCCAGAGCCATGTCAGCACAGAGCCCTCTCCAAACTGTGCCCTGCCCTAGGGTGGGAAACCCATTTGAATTACCAAAAAAGACACCCCCAAAGTTGTTTTATGCCCTTCTCTGCTTAAAGATTCCTTAAGAAATTGGATTCGCTTGGTTATTTTTATTTTCTTTCTTTCTGTCTGTCTTTTTTTTAACCCACAAATTTTAGGGGCAAAAAAGGAAAGACGTCCAGCAATTTGGCCTTTGTGTTTTTGTTGTTGTTGTTGTTGTTGTTCCGTGGTCGAAAAGCGGTCAGGTTCTGAAGAAAAGTCGAAGCGCGTGGAGCAGCGACGGATGGTGGTCTGTGTGGCGGGCAGGAGGGAAGCGATGTGGCAGAGCGCTGGGCTAGGGCCGGCCCGGCGTCCTCTCACCAGGTCCGACCATATAGCAAGGTGGAGCAGGACATGGTGCCGTAGTCCGAGCCCGAGGAGTTCAGGTGGGACAGGCTGGAGACCTGGCCCTGCAGCGCCGCGGGGCTGGCGGCATGGTGCGCCAGGTCCGGAGACTGGCCTGCACTGCCCGGCTGGTGGCCCGGGTGTGCACCAAGGCCGGCGCCACCGCTGCCCACGGAGATGGCAGCTGCCGCCGCCTGCGCGGCCTGCGCCTGCTGTTGCGCCTGCTGCTGCGCGTGGCCTTGTAGGCTGGCGGCGCCCGGCGCGGGGGCACCCGCCTGGCAGGGTTTGCCGTCTTTCACCAGGACCGGCACGGCCACACGGCGCGGCGACTGCTGCTGAGCCTGTTGCTGCTGTGGGCACCCGGCGCCCCCGCCGCCCCCGCCGCCTCCGCTGTCCTGCTGGAGTTGCTGCTGCGCCGCCTTGTCCTTGGCCTGGCGCTTCATTTTGTAGCGGTGGTTCTGGAACCAGATCTTGACCTGCGTGGGGGTCAGGTGGATCATGCTGGCCAGGTGCTCGCGCTCTGGCGCCGACAGGTACTTCTGTTGCTTGAAGCGTCGCTCCAGTTCGTACACCTGCGCCTGCGAGAAGAGCACCCGGCGCTTCCTGCGCGGCGCGCTTGGCAGCGGGGCCATGTTCTTGCTCACGTCCCCCAGCGAGCCCAGGCCGCCCATGCCGCTCATGTTCATGCCGCTCGCCGGGCCCATGAAGCGGGAGACTGTAAGCGACAAACGCACAGCGTCGGCCGGGGCCAGGCCGGGCCAGGCCACCCCAGTTTTCCGCGCCATTGGCCGGCCCGGCCCGCCCCGACCCGACGGCGCCCTACTGACCCAGGCAGCCTAGAGCTCGGCCCCAAGAGGCCCATCCTCTGGGGACTGCCAGCGTCTGCCCCAGGCGGTGGCCGTCGAGGGCTGCACTGGAGCGCTCACAGCCCCAACCCGGGCTGCCCACCCTCAGTCTCAGTTCCCTTTTTCGAACCAATAGGCGCAGTGGGGAAAAGGCCGCTTCTGCTCCTTTAGTGCCTGCCCAGCCCAGGTCAGAGCAATGAGATTAGCTGGCCACAGGCGGCGAACTGGGCTCAGGCCGGGAGCTGGAGTCCCACGGTAGACCCCAATTTGGAGAGGTTAGGCGAGGGGGTGTTGACTTCCAAAAGCTGGAGCCCCCAGATGCTTTGCCTCTTGGCTTCTCTCCTGTCGGCCCCAGTGAGGGCACCTGCTCAGCCCCTCAGAGTCCCCTCCGGAACTGCAAGTCTCCCACCTGCCCAGACTCCGCTAGAGAGAGGACCGGGCCGGGCGCTCCAGTGCCTCCCAACAGGGCAGCCTCCCTCCTGACCGGGCCTGGCTTCTCCGCGCTCTGCTCCCTGAGCTCGGGGTCGCTTCCCTGGACTCCCTGAGGTCTTCTGAGCGGAGCAGAGCTGCCAGTCCACCGCGCCTAGGAGACACCGAGTACCCGCATCTGACCGCAGGACCCCAGCGCTACCAATTGCCTGTTCTTGGACCCCCAGACGAGCAGAGGGAAACATCCCCAGCTCCCACACCCTAGTACTTGGCGCCGCTGCCGGGCCGCCCACCCTGATGCCTAGCGGGCAGCCTGCCGGCGCCGCGCCTTCTGGACGGCTCTCGCCGCACCTCCTGAGCTCAGCCCGCGGCCCCGCAGTGGGGCGGCCTCACTTACTGGCGGCGGGGAAGCGCGGGTCTGGGTTGGCGCCGTACCATCCGGGGCCAGAGGCGCTGTTCCTCATGGTGTCCTGGTACGGCGGCAGCTCGCTCATGTTGCCCAGGTTGCCGTTGCAGTAGCCCCCCACAGCGGAGTGCGAGAGCTGGGGCACCCCCGCCGCCGTCATGTGGTAGGCGGCGGTGACGGCGCCGTGGTGCCCCACGGCGTGCTGCTGCATGGCCGCGGCCGGCGGTGCAGCCTGGCCCTGCCTGTACGCCGCCAGCGGAGCCCCGAGGCCGCCGCCCTCCATGCCCACTTTCTTGTAGCTTTCCTCCAGGGGACTCAAGATGTCAGACACTGAGAACGGAGTCGTGTGCTTTGGACTCATCGACATGATTCGGCGGCGGCTGGAGGAGGAAGGAAGAGGAGGAAAAAAAAAGGGAGAGGGGGAAGGCGAAGCCTCGTTGCTTTTTTTTTCTCCCTTTGCCAAATATTCTGCTGTTACCTTAACGCCGATCTTGTTGGATGTACACGTAACGGAGTGGACCGAGTCCTCCTTAATTGGCTTGAGTGGAGGCTCGGGGGCTGCCTCGCGTTTGTTTTAGCCCGGCGCCAGGTTTTAGGCAGCCACCAGAGGCGGGGCGTAAGCGCTAAAGCAACAAGACAATAGAAGCCTACATCTTGCCCGAGATAATTAGCTTACATGCTGATGACAAGGTAAACACCTTTAAGTTTCACTTGTCAGGATTTTTAGGTCTCAAAGAGAGAGAGAGAGGCAGAGACGAGACCCAAAGCATTTCCCCCCTCCCTTAGACACCCCCACCCCCATTTTTTGTGGGGTACCAGCGGCGCGCGGGGAGGAGGTGGAGAGGAGGGGAAGGAGGAGGGAGCCGAGAGCGGGGAGGGCAGGAGGTGGGGTGGAGGAGTAACAGAGGAGGAGAGATGGTTGGGAGGAAGGAAGGTAAATGCTGCTTTGCAACCAACTTGCGGAGTTACAAAGTGGAACCACTTTCCAATTCGGTTGGGGTTCCCCGGGCGGGGACAGGTCTTTGGGAGGAGGGGGCCGAGGGACGGGGTGGGGGTTTCACCTGAGCCTGCCGGGGCTGCTCCTCCCTCCCGCCGCGGCCTCCCAGCCCCGCGCCTTCCCACTGCCTCCGGACCACATCGGGCTTCGCTGCGCTGAGCCCCAGTCGCCACCAAATGAGCGAGCGAGTCTGGGGACGAACCCTGGGGCCGCACCGTTGGTCTACGTGTCTGTCAGTCTGTCTGCCTCTCTTCTGCAGCCGTCAGAGGGACACCTCTGCTCCCCGCCCCCTTTCCTTCTACCCAAGAGACTCCGAGCGGGCGGAGGGGGCGCTGAGTAGGGGATCGACTGCCTCCCGGAGGCTGTCCCGGATCCCCAAGCCACCACCCGCCCCCGCAGCTCAGGGGTTTTTCTGTGGGCCACCACCCCCAACACGCCTCCCCCCAGGTCTTTCCCCACCCCCACCCCAGGCCGAGCAAACACAGCACTGGCCCCCTGAGCTGGGAGCATGGGAAGGGGTCTAACGGGAGGGTCCGTCACTGAAGTTGCCCCACCTCGAACAAACCTGGTGTCCCTGACCCTCGCCCATCTCCCAGACACGAGGAGTTCTGGGGCTGGAGTTGACTTTCCGAGGACATCACAGCCCTAGCACCCGAGCCCAGAGCCACGCTGTTTTCCCCTCTGATGCTTCTGGGAGAGCACGGGCAGGGAGCGGCGTGAGTGCCCGTCAGTCTGTAGCCGGGCGGAACGGAACCTGAACCCCGGCGGCTGGAGCGCTGGCCAGGAGGGGGCGAAAGCCGAGGTGCAGGCAGCCTGGCGGGCGGGAGGCTGGGCTGAGGCTCGCCTCCGCCCGGAGCTCAGCCATGCAAAAGTGCACTTGCTTCCCGGGAATAACCAAATATCTTTGTTTAAAGTGGTGGCGTAAATGGCCAGTCGCTTTGTGGCCATGCTGGATATTAGTAGATGAGGATCATTCTGCTTCAATTGGGCGCCTCTCATCCGACGAGCAAGAAACTGCTTAGGAGGAAGTGGGTTTCCTGTCTGCGCGTTCCCAGGCTTCAAGTGTGGGCCCCGCGCCTTGAGGGTCCTTGGGCGCCTGGCGAGGGGGAGCTGTGGGCTGCGCTCCCCAGCTGGGCCGGGGGCGTCCCCCACGTTACTCCGGCCAGGCTGGGGCCTGCAGCCGAGTCGACTACCGAGTGGAGCCCTGCACCGCGCAGATTTTGAGACCGACTCCGGTTTTTGTCCTTGTATTTTAAACGTTTTTATTATTGTTTTTGTTTGGCTTTCTCTTTGGCTGTTTTAGCCTCCTCTCCGCGCTAGGGGCTGGGAGGGCGGAGCGCTCCCCGGCCGAGCCTGGCAGGTGCCCCCAAGACACCCGCACCGGCCAAGGAGCTTCTTGAATTTAGTTTTTGTTTTCACATTTTCTCTCCCTTCCGTGCAGAAAGGGAGTTCCTGATGATGAACAGGCAGTTTTGAGCTACTTAATTCATCCAGGTTCCTTTTATTATTACTATTATTAATAGCAATTATAGTACGGAAAGTTTTGTTTTTAAAGATTTCAGCCCTCTCCTTGAAGAGTGCTCTGTATTCCCTCAATATAAAGCCAACGTCTATGCTAACATTCTCTTTTCTCACCGCCTACCTTCTTTATCAGCGGAAAGAAAGCGCAGGGCACCTACCGCCCTCCCACCTGGACCCGCGTTTCCGTGCCGCCCCCATGGCAGCGCTGGGGAGAACACCCTGCGTTTGCGCAGGGAGACGCGCTCTCGCCGCTTGTGTTGCGAAAGACCAGCGCGAAGCCCTGCTGCTTGCCCTTCCTTCCCAGGGGGTTCTCTGGGGGGCGCTCTCAGGATCCGACGAACTGCGCCTTGGTCACTGTGGTGTCTAAGCAAGGAGGGGAGACGACGCTGGGCTTAAGCGAACCACAGAGAACTGGCAACGCTGAATACAGACCTTGTTTGCAGGCTCGACCCGGGCGGGCCTGCGTCCCGAATGGGGTCTGATTGCGAAGGCGGGGTGGGTTTCCCAGTTACCCAGCTTCTTTCTCTCACTCGCCATTATTTTATAGTTGTTGGTAAATTTAAGAAACACCAAGTGTAGAATGCTGTACATCTCTTCCAGTCTCAACGCCATTTAGAAGTGGAGATCACTCTTCGCAAGGTTTTTGTGAGATTCAAGTAAGATGGAGCACATCAAAGTGCTTTGAAAGCTTTGAATGTTTTTCAGCTCGGTGCCAGCACTGGAGAATGCCGTAGTTATTATCATGATTATCCCCACCCCCTCTTTAGGTCCCCAGACTTGAGTAAGAGTTGGATGAATCTTCCACAGCCCCTGGGTCCTGTCTCCTCGGCCTTCGTCCCTGGGCAGCTTTTCAGCCTCTCAGCAGGTCACAGGTGCACGTGGCTGGCAGCTCCCTGGCCTCCAGCTGGGAGAGTCCCAGGGCAACCGGGCCTGCAGCTCTGGAGGGAGCCCCTGCCCTGCCGTTCTGGACCAGTAACCCTCTCCCCAGAACCGCGCAGCAGGTGGCGAGTCTGGGAGCTGAACTGGAGCGGAGCTCGCAGTGGCTGGTGCGGGCAAAGACTCGCGCTTCCCTCTGGGGCGAAACTGGGACTGCGCTTCAACCTCTGTCTGCAGGCGTGCTTCTCGCGCTCGCCAGCAAGCTCTCGTCTTCACCCCGCCTGGGCCTTTGCAGAGCCCTGCCGCCCAGGCTTCAGCGCCTCTCCTATCCCAGCCCCTTCTCAACACGCGGCTGTGCCTTCTTCCCCAGGACCGCTGCACCGCCAAGAATAAGCCCGGAGACTAAGGCGTCTTGTGGGGAAGAGGAGGATATCTGTATCCCCGAGCTTATCCAAGCAAAGGCCTTGAGTGTCCCTCCCATGGCCCAAAACACCTCCTTCTGACCGAGGAGCATTCTTTCTTTCCTCCTGGAGGGGTCTTGCAGGGCCCTCTCTGCGCTGCTTTCTCAGGCACCATCGGATTCATCCTAAATAGGGCAGACCCCAGCTAAATCAGTAATTTTTTTCCCATGAATACGAAGAACCCCAATTCCACTTCTCGAAGTCTGCGTGTCTTCCTTTATTCCACAACTAACTCGCTCCCGGGTGGAGTGGGCACAGTGGGGAGCGATCAGGGCAGGGCAGTGCCCAACGCTGGCCCCTCTCTTTCCCTGGCGCGGCCTCACACGGTCGCTGCCTTAATTCCAACCACACTCTGCTTCGCTGGCTGGGGCTCGGCCGGGAATACGAGGGGGCGAAGGCCCAGGCTCGGCCCTAGACGAGCGAAATCGCCGTCAGCCTTTGCTCACACCAGCATGGCCACGGGGACACTTCCTTCTTTCCCTCCAGTGTCACTTTGCGAGACAACAGAGGGCTCATACAGAAGGGTAATTCAGATCTGTAGCTTGGACCGGGTGGAACTGTGAGGAGGAACCACCTGTCTCACCGCCCCACCCCGCAACTGCTTTTTCTAACTCCCTTTGCAGTCCTTCTCTAAGGCCTGAGCGACTCTGTCTCCTGGTAGTGTTATTTTTCTCCGAGTTTTTTCGCAATTTATGATTCGCTCAACACTATTTATTCAGCTCGGGCTCAGTGCCAGGGACTGTGCTAGGCCCGAAAATTCATCCTTAATCTAGATCCAGCTCCTACTCACACGGAGCTTACACATTCACAATAAATCACCCAAATAATATGTAGTTACTTTCTGATAGATGTTACTGCAGGGTCCAATGAGATAGAGAGGGTTGTAATGGAGGTTTGTGTGTGGGTTTCCGCACCAATTCTTAATCTCCCAGCATTCCAAGTTCGTGAGAGGAGCCCTTGAGTAAAGTCAGAAGTCCTAGGTTTGACCTTGGCTTTGCCACTTTCTAGCTATGCAGTACCGCTCTTGTGGGCTCCCACCACACCCTGGAGTCACTACCATCACAGCCAGAATAAACCAGTGTGTTTCCTGGCTCCTCTCTTTGAGGGTGAGACCCTGTTTTATCTACCTTTGAGTCCCCCAGTGCCTTGAAAAATGCGAAGAAAACACGGCCTCCTAGCGCACACCTGTTTCCTGAGCTGTAAAAAGGGTCACACCCTGCCCTGTGTACTGGCCTGGTTTGTGCTAGTGATCCAAACAATTCAGGACGAGATCACGTGCCTGAGTTTGTAGATCACAGAAGTCGCTAGCAAAAGGAGTTATTCCCTCTGATTCCGTATTTTTTATATATAGAAACTGTTAATCTAGGCCTTTGACCTTTAACAAGAAGCACTTGGGCCCCTCAGCTGCTCCCTAGGGTCTCCCACAGCCAGGCACAGACTTCTAGGCCAAGCTGAGCTGGGCTCGCGAGTGCCGTCGAGGCAACCAGGTGCAGGGAGAGGAAGGCAGGAGCGCGACTGGACGCTTGGGGGCGCTGCTGTGCAACCCCAAGATAGGAGGCGTGCCTCGGGCTTCCTCTCTCTGGAGGGGTCAGGCAGGGCCCCCCTCGGCGCTGCTTTCCCAGGCACACAACAAAAAGCCCACAGGGACCGCGGGAGCTCGGGGCGTGCAGACA